TAAAATAGCCTATTTTGTCTTTTGTGGCTATTTTAGCCACAAACCAACTTGCCAAACAACACCTAAATAATCTACCAAATGTTTTATCAAACCTCTCACATTTGTGTGGGATTTACACACATATAAAAGGTTTAGTAAAAAATTTTATAAATTATTTAAGATTTATAACATTTCTTTATCTATAATACATACATAAATTACCGGTTCAAATTTATTTGTGGCAGGATCATGAAATAATTTTTTGGAAAATTCTGTGTTATGTAATACAATATAATAATATAAAAGTGGTAAATAAAAACTTGTGATAAGAAGAATTTAAAAAGATAAAAAGTAAAATAATCCTCTGTTTGGCATGACAGGCTTTTTGAATTTTTGGTTATTTTAGTCACAAAAAGATAAAATAAGCTTTTTAAACCAATAAAACAAAATATTACATTCAAACCATAATCATTTCATTTTTTCTTTCAGAAAAGTCAAAAAAACCAAAAATTCAATTCCAAACGAGATTTTTTAGCCCAGGTTAAAATAGTTAAAAAGTCAAACAGCCAACTCATATCCCAAACGAACCCTAAATAATTTTTTAAAATATGAAGGTATAAGATTTATTTGTATAATCTAATGCATAAGTTACTTGTACCTTTAGCTTTTTAAAATTATTTTTCTACTCTACTTTTTTGATATTCTCCCTATAAATTAACTTATCTACTAATATAAAAAAAAAAAATGTTGAAAAATCTAATTTAACAAATGTCTAAGGTATTAAGTCCAGTGAATGTTTTTTGTTGGTGAGAGGTCTCTCTTTTGTAAAATAGTTTAATGAGAAGTCTTTTTATTATTTTAAAGGACATTTTATTTTCAATTTTACTCATTATCTATTTGTTGATTTTTTTTTAGCTATATGTTCAAAAAAAATTATCTATTTTAACTATCTGTTCAAATAATTTTTTATCTATTTAAATTTTTTTCTTATATGTTTCAATTTATATTTATCTGTTCAATTTTTTATCTGTTCAATTTTTTAATTATCTGTTTCATCATCACCAGCGCCAGCTCCACCACCAATAGCTTGTTCCCAAAAAAAAAAAGAAGAAAAAAAAAAAAGAAAAACAACAACAACAACAACAACAACAACAACAACACATATATACAAAAATAAACATCAAATGTATCCAAATATGGATTGAACAATTTCAAAACCAAAGAGCAAAAAAAACAAAAAAAAAAAACAGATCAAATGTATATACATACAATGTAATATATGTATATATATATGAACTTCATATTTGGCAATGAGAGAAATAGACTAATTAGAACAGTAAGTTCTACAATTGTTTTTGTGTTCTTATATATAAATGGACCAATACCTCATCCATGTCCATTGTAACTGTGACTCTTATTTTAATATCGATCATCACCCCATCTTTATCCAATGCCAATCACTATCTTTTACTAAAACTTACCAACTCGAACAACAACAACAGATCCAAGATCGGAGATCGAAGCAGGTACCAAATCAGAGATAACAAATCTATTTCAGATCTAAGATTGTCGGTGGTTGAGACAGTGACGGTGTTGTTGGAGGGAAAGGACGGTAGTGGTAGTGTTAGAGATGAAGAGATAAAGAGAAGAGAGCGGTGGTTGAGATGATGACGATAGTGTCGGGACGGTGGTGGTGGTGGTGTCGAAAATAAAGAGAGAGAGAGAGAGAGAGAAAGAGAGAGAGAGAGAGAGAGAGAAAAGTAAGAGTATCTCCAACATTTACTATTTTTTTTCATTAAATTTGAATTTGAGTAAAAACTTCATCTGATATTGCTCATTTTAACGAAAAATTTTGAATTTTCATCAAAGCACCAGTCAACCGGGCGGGTGTTCGGTCGGTCGACCAGTTTGGTGTAAATTGATCACAACCTACAAAACAATTTTGCAAGGAAGAGATTGTCCGGGAGGATATCTGGGCCAATGGTCATCTACAAATTTGATGAATTGCCCCCAGCATCTTTAATTTGATGAAAATTTTAAGATATCCTTAATTTGATTTTGGTTTAATGTTATGATTGGAGCACCCAAACTAGACTTGTTTTCCATCAAATTTAAATTTAATGAAAGAAAAGAGTAAGTGTTGGAGACTCTCTGGGTGTATTTGTTTTGAAGGATTAGGGTGTGGGATTGGACTATTAGTTCCACCGGATTAATAGTCCATTGTTTGTTTCAAAAGTTTTGCTCCGGACTAATAGTTCCCCCGGACTATTAGTCCCATATTTGTGAGACTATCTTATCCCATGGGGGGTGGGATAAAAACCATGGGATAACTCATCTCATGAGATTAGACAATGAAATTACATTTTTGCCCTCTAGTATTTAATTATGTATTATATTCAGTAAAATTCAAAAAAATTTAAATGTCTCAATTTAAAAATAAAATAATTTTATTTAATTTTTATTTTTGTTTTATTTATTTAATTTTTTAAAATATTTTTTTATAGATATTTTATTGATGTTTTATTTTAAAATTTTGTTTACATTTTATTTAATTTCATTATTTAAATTTTAATAGATGTTTTATCTAATTTCATTATTTAATTATTATTATTTTTTAAAATAAATTTATGTAAAATTTTAATTAAAAAAATATCATATATTTTTATTGATATTTTATTTATTATTTAATCTAGCTAAAAATAATTAAAATATTAAAACTATGTTTAATATTGCTATTATTTAGTAAATAATTGAAAATAATAAAATAGTCATTTGAGCATTTATCATTTTCCACAATATCCCAAACAAATATTGAATTCACTAAAAATAGTTCAAGCCAGACATCTAATCTCATGACTAAACAAACATAGGATACAAATTTAGTCCAACCAAATAGTCCGGGGACAATGTATCCCAGGACTAATAGTCCGATGGATTACAATCCCCCCTTATCCAGTCCGTCTAAACAAAGATTTGATTTTCTTTTTCTGCTGTATAACGTGTATATATATATATATACATACATACATACATGTGTAATTTGGTAATTTTATAAGAGTTTGACTTTATAGACAAAATATTTTAGAGTGTGGACCTTTAGGTAAAAAAAATTTTAAATTAAATTTATGAACCGCGTGTCCTAAAAAAAAAAGAAGAAAGAGATTTTCGTAAGTCATAATTTTTGATTTTTTTTTATAATTTATTTGAAATCCTTAAATAAGATTATCTCCACTTCAAATTTAAGTCTTTCATCAAATTTACATTTGATAAAATTTTAGTGAAAATAGTGTTCCAACCGTTTCACTAAATTGGTATCAAATGAATGGAGCTCTATTTTTTTTCATCAAATTAAGGAAGCGTTTAACTTTTCATCGAATCTTGCAAATGATCATTGGTGAATGATCGGTCAAACAATCGGGAGGACAACTGAATTAGGGAAAATTTGAAGAAAATTTACACTAACGGTCGACCGTCTAAACATCCTTCTAGTTATCCCCTTAGTCGACCACCATTTGATGAAAATTGAAAATTTAAAGTTGGAACGCGGGGTACTAGATAAAACTTTTATCCCGAATCTGTTCTTAAATTTGATGATAAAAAAAAAAAAGAAAAAAAAAAGTAAGCTGGACAAAGTAATTCCACCACTACTTACCCAAAAAAAGTAATTCCACCACTATTTTTCTTAATTATAAATTTTTAGCTCATTTTAGGTATTTGCGCAACAAAAAAATTGTGTAATAACTTATTTAACCAAACATGTCTGAATATTTTTTTACAAATTATTAAAAATGATATCAAACAAATTTACAATTTACTTTAAAATTTTAAGTTAATAATCTAAAATTAGAATAAATTATAAATATACATTTGAAATTTGCTTAAAATAAAATTGCTCAATGTAAGTCTAGAAATTACAAATACCCCATAGTCATAATTTTTTATTTAACAAAAATAACAAAAAAATAAAATTACTAACTACTCTCCTATACAACAACCAAATTATTTGAATAGTTAATTAAACTATATTATCATTAAAAATACTAATTGAGTTTATAATTTTTAATAAAATTAATAATTTGTTGTGGGATTAAAAATTTGAAGGGATGAGATAATTTCTAAAATTACAGGGAACAATTTATATTTTACCAAAAAAGATAAATTATAAATACACTCTTGAAGTTTGTTTAAAATATAACTTGCTCCCGTTGTTTTAAAAACTACATCTCGCCACTCATTTTATTAATAAATTATTAAGTCAATTAATAATTTAGATAATTTTATTACTGTATAGAAAAGTAATTAGAAATTTTATTTTTTCTATTTATTCTATTAAATAAAGAATTATAACAAAAGAATATTTATAATTTTTAAAATCACATGAATCAACCCATCCGTGTTTTAAGCAAATCTTAAAAAATGTATTTGTATTTGGGTAAATTATCAATAGGTTCTAATAGTTAGATTTAATTTTTATCAAGTCTTATTAAAAATAAGTTATAAAAAATCATCGCTACAAATAATTTTTTGTAATGATTTTTACATGTCGTTAAAAAAGCCAATTAGTAACTTTTTTTGGTCATGATTTTTATACATTGTTTCTAAAATTTATAATTAATGATATTTTTCTGTGACAAAAATTTTAAATTATTATGAAAAGTTGAAATTGGTGATTTTTTATGACACTTTTTTTAAAATTATCGCTAAAATTTATAATTAGTAATATTTTTTTATAATAAAATTTTTAAACTATTGCTAAAAAATAATAAGTGATGACTTTTTTTTGATAATATTTAATAAAAAATATTATTATTATTAATTAAATAATAAATCAACCTATTATAAACTACATATAAATTATTAATTAAATAATAAATCAACCTATTATAAACTACATATAAATTATTTTTGATATTTTACACAAAAAAGAAAAAAAAAATTATAATCACCAAAATTAAATCGGAATATAGTTCTGCTTTGCGCCAAGAGTAAGTACAACCGCTCCTACTGTCTGTCTATATATTTGCGGAGGCTCAGTTTTCTTCGACGCATTCAGAGAGAGGGAGAGGGAGAGGGAGAGCGGTTTACACAACGATAAGCGTCGATCAAGGATTTCTCTTTGTGGTCGTTGTTCAAAATTTCAAAGATCACTTGATTCGATCCAACGCAACACACTCCAACTGCATGAAAGAAGAATAAGAAGAAAAATTAATCATCTATTGGCGAAATCGAATCAATTGCGATCATAAATCGACTTGTTTTTGAGCTCAAAAACCCAAATCAATGGAGTTCATTGCTGGTGGTGTGTGTGAAGAATTTCTCTCTCGCCATTCACTTCAGCAGCAGCATCTTCTAGTTCTTGAAGCCTCCTTGTATTGATTTTGAAATTTAATTTTTTCATTTTAGAGTTTCTACATCTGTTATTTCTCTCCTTTGTTTTTTTGTGATTTTAAGAAAGATGAATGTGGTGAAGTCCCAAGTGTGGCAACCTTGCAAGAAGAAGAGATCTTGATTTCTAGAGAGAGACAGAGAAATCAGAATCAATGGTTGGTATTTGTCTTGTGTACAGTCTCAGTTGAGAGAGAGAGAGAGAGAGAGATCTTGAGTGTGTAGAAAGAAGAAGAAGAAGAAAGAAAGTACAAAAAGACATACAAACAGAATAAATATATACAGAGTGTGAGATGGCTTCGAGGTCAAGCGGCGGAGGCGGAGTCGGAGTCGGTGGTGGTGGTGGTGGGCAGAGTGCAAGGACGAGGGTGGGGAGGTACGAGCTGGGGCGGACATTGGGGGAGGGAGCGTTTGCGAAGGTGAAATTTGGGAGGAACGTAGAGACTGGTGAGAACGTTGCTATAAAGGTTCTCAACAAAGAGAAACTTCTCAGGCATAAGATGATCGATCAGGTACTCTCTTTCTCTCTCTCTCACACACACAAATTCGATTCTGTTAATCATCTCCAATCCTTTTATCAAATGTTTATCAAAGTTGACGAAAAGTAAGATTTGGGATGAGAAGGTAATTTTTTAAAAGATTTTGATGAAAATTTGACGATAGGATTGGAGTAGTTCATGAAGCAGCTAACCCTCTCTAACTAGCACGAGAAAATTAGCAGCTAACCCCTCACGGCTTTGCATACTAGTCTAAGGGAGGTAGTCCACTTATGTAGCGGAGCTGTGATATCGACGGTGCCAAATGAAGCGTCTAACCCTCCTGACTAAAATAATATTATCCGCTTTGGAGTTAGGCGAACATCAACAGCTAATACCTCATGGTTTTAAAAGGCCTCGTACTAGTCTAAGGAGTCAGCCTACTTATGTAGTAGTGAAGCTGTGATCTTTCACACAGAGCGATGTGGGATAGTGCACCCGCAAGTCATATCATATCAAATCAAATCAAATTTTTTACTCAAATTTGAAATCAAATTAGATGAAAATTTTAATGAATGATTGGAGGTGGTCTTAGACCATCCCTAATTTAAATAAAATCCTTGATTTAATATGAAAATACTCTAATCCTTTCATTAAATTTTATTTTATTATACCAAATTTTACTTCAACAAATTCAAAATTGATTAAAGATTTTATGAGTTCTCAATTTGATGAAAAGAACAATTGAGGAAAGGATTTGGAGATAATTTTTGAGTATTTTTCATCAAATTTAAATTCGATGAAAGAAAAGGTGAAGGATTGGATATGCTCTCTAATGTTCTAATCTTTTTGTTCTGTGAAAATTCTGTTTCTGGTTGGCTTTTTTCTGATTTTTTCTTTCTTTCTTTTGTAATTGTAGTTCACATCTGCTTGGCTACCAAGAAACTTAACAAGAAAGAAATATAATGAAATTTCTAGTTTTAAGCTTTTAGCTGTTTGTTATTTCGTGGCAGTGATCTGTTTATTTATTTCTAAGAATTCGAGTAATTGAATTGGGTATTTTTATTTTTTTTACTTGTAACTGACGAGAACAAAAGGAATATATACAGTAAAATATATTTTTAAAAAAATTATTTTAAAGTGTACATTATGTTCAAATTAAGTTCCTGCAGTGTCTTGGCAAACTAAAATAGTAAGACAATGGTTCTGGTTTGAAATTCACACACTTCATGGTAAAAAGTATAAAAAGTATTGATTTGTTTGTAATTTTCTGGTTTGGTGAATTGTTTAGGTTGATCAGACAGGAAAAACATCATGTAGTTTACATGTTTTGATTACCAGTTGAGTTAAATTAAAAAAAAAAAAATTTCCTTACTCCTTATTTGATGCTATTTGGCATGATGGATGTATCAATTTAGGAGGCTATTTTTTTGACATATTGAACAATAATATTCAAATCCATTTTGGAATTTTTAATTTTTTTTTGTAATTTTGGATTTTTATGTCTTAAATTTGTGTTTACATTGTAATTATGTTTTCCTTTGCAGATTAAACGTGAAATTTCGACCATGAAACTAATCAGACACCCAAATGTCATCCGTATGTATGAGGTTAGAATGTGTCACAATCATCTCATATCTCTCTCATGTTTGGTTTAGCAGGACTTCTAATATGGCCCAACCTTTTTCCAGGATAGGAAGTTTGATTGCGGGCAAAATATTGGGGCTGTTTGGTGCAATCTTATATTATAAGTTTTTTATTTTTTATTTTGAATTTTGTGTTAGATTATTTGATGCAACTTCTGCTTATAGGCAGAAATAGTTTAAATAAGCTGAAAAAACTGATTATTTGAAAGTTGAGGGAGGGGTGTTTTGTTTACTGATTAACAGCTTACAATAACCTGCACTAAACAGGCCCATTGTACTAACTGGACTTGTGGATTTGTAAATGATGAAGGTTCTTGTATTATGATCATATAAGATCACTAATTCTGTTTTATTTTGTATACAAAAATAGCCGAGTTTCTACCTTTTGATGACCCCATGTATTTCATGAGAAACTCAAGATCCTTTGGTTGTAGGTTATGGCAAGCAAGACAAAAATATACATTGTTTTGGAATTTGTGACTGGTGGTGAACTTTTTGACAAAATTGTAAGACTGATTACTTCTGATTTATTGTATTTGATTCTCGTGACAATCTTGTTCCGTCCAATTAGTGACTAGGTTGGATTTTGTATTAATTTCTTTGAGCCAGGCTAGTAAAGGGAGGTTGAAAGAAGATGACGCAAGGAAGTATTTTCAGCATCTCATAAATGCAGTGGATTACTGCCACAGCAGAGGTGTCTTTCATAGGGATCTAAAGGTGAGAAAATCTCTGACTTCTGGTTTTTGATTTCTTCCCAGCTCAAGCTTTGTTCAACGTAGTTTCAGAGGTGATGAACAAATCAGTTATACAGATTTGCATTTTCTTACTCTATAATTTACAGCCTGAGAATCTGCTGCTGGATGCAAAGGGAGTTCTTAAAGTTTCAGATTTTGGATTAAGTGCTCTAGCTCAGCAAGTTCAAGTATGCCACAGCTTCCTGTCATATAAATCTAATCTGCATCCTACTTATCCCAAAAAGAAATAAAAATAAATGAAATATATATATATATGCATCCTAGTAGTAAAAATTCTACCAAAGTTTCAGGGGCACTGGTTTATTTATTTACTGATACCTACAATATTAGAAAAACTCCAACTCTTGATGATAGTGTGGCAACCTTTCCTCATGTTTTCATAAATTGTAATTTGTAAAAGATTTTAATATTGAGTTTCTGAACTCTTCATCCAGGAAGATGGGTTACTACACACGACCTGTGGAACACCAAATTATGTTGCTCCTGAAGTATGGTAGTGTTTGCTGCAATTTATCATATCTATCTTTTCCTAACCGCACTTATTTTCCTCATCGCTTTGTTTACTTTTCTAGGTGATCAAGAATAAAGGCTACGATGGAGCCAAAGCAGATCTATGGTCATGCGGTGTAATACTTTATTTAATATTAGCAGGCTATCTGCCATTTGATGACTCCAACCTTATGGCATTATACAAAAAGGTTTTCATTTAACTAAAATTCAAATTATGATGCCTCTTGGAGCCCCAAATTAGGGTTTCTTTACAATGAAATTCAGTGACAACTCCAACAAGGAAAGAGAATCGACCAGAGGGCAATACATTTAGGAAATGAGTTGCATTTGGCATGGTTTACATGTCCAAGTGACTATTTAGTACAAGTGACCCTTTTTGTTAGGGCTTGGTATAAGATTACCTTATGCATATTCAGTTTCTTAATGTTATGCTACTTAAAATTTTTGAGGTTGAGACATAACTCTATAAGGACTCGACATGATTGCAGATATTCAAGGCAGAATTTACATGTCCTCCATGGTTCTCCACGAGCGCAAAGAAACTAATCAAAAGAATTCTGGATCCTGATCCTGTGACAGTATGTCCACTTCTTGTCTCTTTTATATTTTTAATCTAAAAAAAAATTGTATTCATCTTGTTAATAATTTTGAATGCGTCCTTGAATTAAGTCGCTACTAATTTCTCATATCAGTTATAACTCAGTCGATGACAATATAGTTTTACGGTATGAAACAGCGCATTTCAACTGCCGAAGTCATTGAGAATGAGTGGTTTAGACAGGGCTATGAACCACCCACCTTTGAACAAGTGGATGTTTGTCTTGATGACATTGATGCTGCATTTAATGAATCAGTGGTAATCGGTCTCTTGGTTTGCAGTTTCAGTTAGAACAATTCGTTCATGTTCCTCTTGGTTTGGATATTTGTGAAATGGGGAGTCGGAATGACTTTGGATTTGATTTTCTCTTGGTGTACAGGACTCCCAAAACCTTATCGTGGAGAGGCGGGAAGAACGGCCTGCAACACCTGTCATTATGAATGCTTTTGAGCTTATCTCTACGTCTCAGGGTCTCAACCTCAGTTCTCTATTTGAAAAGCATATGGTATGTCATAGGTCTATAACTTTGATTTTTGAGCTTCGTACTTGAGCTATCAGATATTAAAATATCTTTTGGATCTGATTGTTGCATGCATTTGTTTGTGAAGCCAGTTGCTCCTAGGTCATCTCATGAATGAATAGGATCATATGTTTTTTTTTTTTTCATTTTTTTTAATCTTGGTCTGTGAAGCATATTCAATTGTAGGTTTTGCTAATCCATATAATATGTGGAAATGCAGCTGGTGGATTTGTTAGAAACATTTTCTGTTAGGCTCAACATGACAAAATCACAGTTAAATGACCAATAGCTGTCTCTTTGACTCTGATCAGAACCTAAACTTGTCTATCATTAAAAAATGATCTTGAACGCTTTGAATGTCTAACATCTACTTTACGTCCAGGGGATTGTTAAACGGGAAACAAGATTTACATCCAAATGTCCTGCTAATGAGATTATGTCAAAAATTGAGGAAGCTGCTTCACCTCTTGGTTTTGATGTAAGGAAAAAAAACTACAAGGTACAATGAGCATTTGTTCTGTCTCACATCACCCTATTTTCAGTTGTATTGTCTCTTTGTTAATTCTAGGGTAATTTAGAAATTATTACTTTAAATGGCAGTTCTTTGAGTTCGTTTGATTTTGGACTAATTGAATAAGTGCAATGAAAGTGAGCTTCATGCATCCCGATTTCATTGCCTGTGAACTTGCATTTTTACTTGCTAGCTACTAATTGCTAGGTCTGTTATATTCTGTACAATTGATGATCGTTTAAGCTAGCTATGAGTTATATTGGGTCAGCTGATACTAAGTTCTTGTTGACAGGATGATAGTTTGATAATGAACACTTTGTGTGAAGGTCGTTTTCTGAAATGGAAACATTATTGATTTATTGATATAAAACTAAAATATGAACTCACTTAAAGGTCAAGTTTTTCCGGGTTTACCCAGATACCCGATTATATATATATATATATATAAAGATCAAGCTTGTGACTGTCCTACTTCCTCTGACAATTTATTTTGGTTATTGATATCAGCTAAAGCTTGAAGCGCAGAAAACTGGGCACAAGGGTCATCTAGCCGTTGCAACAGAGGTATGTTTCTCCCATTCACCTCTTCAGGGAATTTCCAATTGACTGGAAAAAACACTAGAACATTATTCAAATCAGTGTTTGAAATCAGGTCTGAAAGTAATTTGCCCAACAGATTTTCGAGGTGGCTCCATCACTTTGCATGGTTGAACTTCGCAAGGCTGCAGGGGATACCTTAGAATTTCATGAGGTATAGTGGTGAAATGTCATTGCAATGGTTTCACTTGAATACTATGTTTGTGTTATCCATTGATTCTAGACACCATGTCTTTCATTTTGTTCTTTGGGATCAATGTATACATGGGTGTATTTTTTGTTTTTTTCCACCTTCTCTTTGTTTTCATATATTTTACTTAATTCCAGATCAACTTTCTAAAATTATATATGAAAAAAACTCCACAAAGTTGAATGTGTCCAAACACAGGAAACGCTTGTTCATGTAGTACCCCTGTGTGTCTTGCAATAAATAATAATTTTAAAAAAATTCGACACACCACATGGCGTGTCTGACACGTCCATTTTGTAGTGTCCTTGCTTTCTGGATTGGCATAGCAGCAAAATGGTGTCTGAGGCAAGCAATTGGGAACCTTTTTGGCACACCCGGGGGCTATGCCTAGGATCTCTTGAATTTCACAAATTGCAAATACCAGTGTTTAACTGGAGGTGACACTTTGTCAAACATTTGGCCCAGTCTGATCAGAGTGATCGGATGCATATACCTGATCATCCACCCCTGTGTAGCTGTTGGCTGAGAAACTTGCCACCCTTTTGCACATCATTGCCATGTTAGAAACATTCTCTTTGTGTATGTGTGTGAATGTGTTTTCCTTTTGACCATATACTAGTATTATAAGTATGCTTTTTGCACTCTCTTGAATACACAGTTTTACAAGATCCTTTCGACTGGTTTGAAAGATATTGTGTGGAAAACAGGCGATGAAGCAGCAAGGAAAGTAAATAAAGGTCAGTAGTGTATAGTAGTAGTAATCACCAAAATTCAATTGAGTATTGTGTACAAGGTTGGTTTAGAGGATTTTCTGCACTATAAATAGGCATTGTGCGTGCAGCTTCACATCGATTAATAATTGAAAGTTCTATTCAAAGCATTAGGCTTGTTAGATGATTGAAACATCTTTATTATGATGTAGCTTCTTCTTCTCATGGGTGTTACATGTTTGCTGCATGTATCTACACACATGATATATTCGGGAGAGAGGTTAGGGTTGCAAATGAACCAAGCTATTCATGAACAACTTGAGCTCATCTCATTTAAAACTTGTTTAAGTTCACTCATTTGCCAAATGGACAAGCTTGAGTCAAATTTTTATGTTCGTTTTTGTAATTGAACCAAGCTTGAGTAAACCTAAGCTCAGCTCGAATAGACTCGTGAACACAATTATATATAGATTAGTATTTATTTTTAATGATATAAAAATAGTATTTTCATTAATTTATTTTACTCCTTTATTTATGTTTGGTAGTTGTACAAATTTACATATTTAATTGATGAAATTTATAAATAATATAAGAATTCCTTTTATATTTTGTTCATAATCTTCTCCTTTTTCCTTTGAAGTTGAAACTAGACTCAAGTTTCTCAAATACTTGACGATCCAAGCTCAAGCTTGACTAATTTCAGCCAACCGAGCTTGAACTCTCCAAAGCTCAACTTGGCCTGGCTCTGCCACCCAAATTTTAAACCATTTATTTTGAACTTTGTCAACCTTGAGTTGTGAGTAAATATATGGTCTTGTGCACACAATTCATGACTCAAACTGAAGAGAAATTTCTTTTCTTTTCATGGAGGACACAGATCACTCAAATTCTCTGAAATTGGTAGCGCTTTTCTTTTCTTTTCTTTTTTTCTTTTTTTTTTTCAGTCATGGTTTATTGTTCTGGTTTCATTCTACAGGTGTTGGCACTGCATCATCATCGTCATCTTGATCACCGGCTTCCTTTGAAGATCTATGTTGGTGGAAATTTCACATAATTTTGATCAGCAGATATTTGAATTCAGGTGGTTAGGCTTTTCTGTATTGTATTTTGTTTGTGTATGTTGTTGGGTTACGGGTTTTAGTCCCGGGTTAACTATTGCTATATGTTTCCCTCCTTATCAATATGTAAAACTATGTTACATGGACTCAAGTAACGGTGTGTTCAAGTGCAAGCGTTCATTTCATATAATTAAATCTCAAGATATTGTGATTATGTATTGAAGTTAGAAATGGGTAAAACAGACACACGTGTATTGTATGTTGTATAATTGATAATTCTTTTAATAAAAATTTTGAGAAATTTCTCTTAAGACAGTAGGTCCTATTACTATTTTAAAAATTGTATTACTATAAGAAACTTCATTCATCTTGAAAATCGTATAAAAGCTTAATATGTAATAATTTTGTAATTAATTTTTTATGCCTTCAAAGTTATTAATTATATGTGATTATTTTGTAGCAACCATTTTCTTTTGAATGGAAGACACCAAAATAGATTAAGATTGAAAACATTTATTTATAGGATAATTTACAAATTTCTGTAGTCATTAGAGCTATGGCCTGTAAGCTCCAACATTTGGTAGTTGTTATCTGCTAAACGCCAAGGTTTAGGGGCTTAGGGAAGTAGTCCCTAGCTGTTATCCTCAGCTGAGTCTGTTATGATATTTCATACAATTTTATATAGATCCTCAATCACCAATCCTCGTATAAATATGGGTTGTGCTCGAGAGGTTATGAATCGATTGGCAATCGAATGAATCATAACACTTGTAATGATCGACTTTACGAAAATTTCATTGGATTTTGGAAGCTTGTAGCATTGGTCCAGCCCCATTTGCAAACTGAAGAAGCTGGGTGTACCCGTCAGCCCCTGACTTGCTTCCGATAATTGAAAGTGATTTGTTTTCTATTAATCAAGATAAATCGATCAATCATGCAATTATGGCCAATCGAAAGCAAAGATTCGATTGGCCTTCTAGAGAGCTGACATTAAAGGACTTACACCCACAGCACCAGCAAAGTTGTACGACATACGATCAGAAGTTCAGGATGATGTGATCGAAGTAAACCTAGAGGCAGAAGCAGAACCTCAACCCACATACGTCAGTAAGAACCTATCTAGTGAAATGGCCGAAGCAATTGTAAATCTTTTGCAAGAATACAAAGACTACTTTACATGCTAGTAGTGAGGTATGCTTAAAAGAGTATTGTTATTAGCATATCAATTAATACTTTGGAACTTCCATTTCTTTGGACCTTCATCTATAAAATTCAAAACCCTAAAAATTTCTAAAAACCTTTTAAATAATACCAAAAGTATCATTTTAAAAGTATCAGTCACCAAAATACAAACCCTTACCCCCTCAAACCCTTCATCTCCTAAAATACTCAATTGTTGAACTCTCACTATTGAACTCAAGTTTTCTCTTTTCGTTGAAAGAACTCTGCCGTCAATCTCTGTCCGCTGTCAATCTCTCCACCATTGATAAGCGATCTCTCACAATCGACCTTTCTCCGCCATTAATCTCTCTCACAATTGATCTCTCACTGCCAACCTCTATCGGCTATCAATCTCTCTATTGCCATGTTCGGACCTGTGTTGCCAAACAAATTACCCATGTTTGGACTTGTGTTATCGAACATTATAAAAACATGAAGTTCATCAACCATTTCTGTGAACAAATTTGACCTATTAAAGTTTAACAAACAAATATAAGTATACATCAACCAGTTTGATTAACAAATAAAATTAAAATTTATCGCATAACAAAAATATAAATATGCATCAACGTTACATCCAAAGTGTCGAACATATGAATAATTTTTTGTTAGACTTTGCCGAACTAATGCCTCACTAAAAAGGAAATAAATTATTTTGGGACATACATCCGCTAAATCATAACATAGAGTTTATGGAAGTACCTATCTCCATCACTACCCACACTTCAAAACCTTCAAAACTTAAACACCCTCAAAACCCTTCAAAAATCCTTCAGCGTCTAGTCTTTCGGCAGCTTCTGACGGTAACGACATTAACTATTCGACAATGGTGATGAGTGAAAGTTTTTCTAGCAACTCTAATATTATGAGACAAATGGAGCATCACAATATACAATTTGGGGATGCTGCTGCGCAGCCTGCGCAACAGCAACTGCAACTGCTGTGCAGCGAAATTGGGCCATTTCGGGATACATTTTGATAATCCGAACCGCTTACATTTTAAATATATCAAGTATAACATGTTTGTAAACAATCAAGTTAATCGGATATAGTTGACCTTGTAATGATAAGTTTTTAAAAAAATGCATCCAAAAAAATGGTAAAAATGGTTCAACTTTTTTTTTTTCCTTCTTCTTCTTCTTCTTCTAGTACTGAACTCTCAAACATATGCCAAAAAATTGGCAACACAGCCAAATTAATAATTTCATTTAAGATTATTATTGTAATAAAAATAAATAAAAGAAATTTGGGGTTCAAAGTATTAATTGGGTGCCAATAGCTGCACTTATGCTTAAAATACATAATATGATTTTGAAAATTACAAATATTTCCTTGTCGGAATTTGTTATTTAACAGAGTTGATGAAAAATGAAATTCTTATCTATTCTCCTAAATATCAATGAAATTATCTGTTAATTGAAATATATTGCTAATATCATTCAAAATTGTTGATTAATGAAAGAAATTATTTGTAAGTGATTAAGAATTTTGAGGAGCAAGATATATTTTTTATAACCATAGGAGGCAAATAGTGTTTTAAGAAAACCTTAAGAGATGTATTAGATTAATGAATGGGGGTTAACCAGAATGTTGTGGCTAAAAAAGTAAAAACCTCGTAATTGTATGTCTATTTATTTATGAAGAAAGTCTATTTAATTGTGTACAAAAGTGGTATTATATATACTCTAATTATTGCAGGAAAGTTGTTCATTTAACCAAGTTGACTTTTAAATATGAAATAAGTTACCAAAAGCATCAATAATTCAATAATTTATACACATATTTGGCAATACAATAAGAAATTGAAAATTTGTAAAGATATCATTTAAAAATCCATTTGGTTAAGGTGTGATGTCTTTTTCAAATATCGCAATTTAATTTATAGAACAATACAAATTTAGATTAGTATATTCATAGACGTTAGATGGAAGAACCATTAAAATTCAATACTAGTTGTTGACAATATGTTCTTAAATTTCTTTAAGATGGAAGAACCATTAAAATTCAATATTTAAAAGAATTTTAAAATAATAACAATAATAAAATCTCATATGATAGTCATGCCTACTTCACCTTTAGGATCAAACTTGATTTCAGTCTAAGGTTGACGCTTATTGCCATCTATTTTATTTTTTTATTATTATTTTTTAATCCTTTCATTTTTTCTTTTTCCTTTTCATGGTTACTTTATTATCTTTCAGAACTTAGTTGTTTATTTATTTTATTGGGTTTTTAAAGCAAGGAGAACGTAACAAATCACCATCAAGATGGATCGTGAAAAGAATAATGAAGGAATCACTAGCAAGTGTCCATAAGTACAAATAACAATACTAAAAAATTGCAATTATTGTACAATCTCCTCAATTGCAATAGTTGACTATTCTATTAATTTACTCGCAAAGATTTTCAAGTGCGCACGTTTCAAAGCTTGATTGGCTATGTGAGATATCTTAGCTTCTCCTTACATGTTTATTGTTTTTTAATTTTAATAATTTTACGCGCCGACACAGAATTAAAAAAATAAAGTGACACACTACTTCAATAACATAGTCTTACTTTGTATATAGATTTTAGGTCAAAAAAGAGAAAAGAAAAAAAGAAAAAGAACAAATATAAAAAATCCATTAGTAAGTCGTCGAAGAGAGATCGAATCAATCTCTCTCTAACTATGGAAGATCTCTACATGATTAGTGAGCATTGAATTCATCATGATCCCTCTTCGTTGCAAGCATGGCCATCTCTCTTCCCTTCCATTTTCATCACCCTTCGGAACAGGGGTCACTGCTGTGCGTGGAGCATAGTAGTGACTGTGGTGCATTCATTTAGGGTGTATTATAGTCTTATTTTTACGATCCAAACCGTTCATTTTGTAGGGTTTGTTGAGTACTTCATGTCTACCAAAAATCATATTAATCGGATATCAACAACTATATGATCGAACTGCATATTATTTATGTTATTTTTTAAAATAAAACTTATTAGTTATTTTTTTGGTTACCGATCATATAGTTTTTGATATCCGATTAATATGATTTTTGGTAGGCATGAAGTACTCAACAAACCCTACAAAATGAACGGTTTTGATCATAAAAATAAAGTCATAATACACCATAAATTGAGACACCACAGTCACTGTTGTGCTTCACAGCAGTGACCCTTTATCCTCACCCTTCTCTCCCTAGTCATTTAACAACTTAAACATCCTCAAGCAATCAAGTGATTTCTCACAAAAAAATAATTATTATTACAAAATAATATAATTTGATTTCATATCGGCTTAAAAGATTTTAAATCTTAATTTGAAGTGATTTTTCTATCCAAGAGTTTTTCTCTTTCATTTGGTTTGTTGGTGAAGGAAGAATTCTCTTTTTTCATTGGTTCTCAGGTCTTTGTTTTGGCTTGGTTTGGTTTTTTAAATTTGTTAAACCTCGCCACATCACATTTTGTTTTTGATTTTGTGCATTTAGCATTATTATTTGAATTTTTTAAATTATTTAATATACATAATAAAATCCTAATTGTACACAAATGATAATTTTTTGAGTTTCCCGAGATAATAAAATAATCTACAATCACAAAATGAGATTTCTCAATGAAAATTACAATAACATTAAATGATTATATTATCATTGTTCTATTTAATATTTACTTTTTTTAAAGAATAAAAATGATTAAAGATCTTGGAATCTCAAGATATTTCTTCAAAATATTGTTTAAATATATATTCTTTAATACGTTTTAAAATAATTGACAACTTTTTAAATTATAATTATTTAAAAAAAAAAACTTAAAAACATATATTTTCAAACAAATTGCTACGCATATGACATGTAAGTTGGCTTAAGATCTAATCAAGTCGAAGTAATTAACATTTTTCAATAAATAATGGTGACATTTTGTTTGGGAAGGATTATTTGGATTAAATAGCCAATAAGACAGCAATAAGTTAAAATAATTAATAAAATAAAATGTCACATTTAACTCATAATTATT